CTCAACTGCCCCCCTCAACTGCCCCCCTCAACTGCCCCCCTCAACTGCCCCCCTCCTGGTTCAATGGATTCTCCATGATTTTCCTCCCGCGACTCGGAAGATTGACGGTGATCTGAAGCCCCCCAGGCTGTCGCGCTTCGGTCGTTGATGCCACGAGCAGCTGCCCACGCCTGAATACGGGATCATGATGGATCATGATGGATTTGGTGTAGTGTTGGTGCTTGGCAACAAGTGCTGTCTTCAACTGTGCTTGAAACACTTGTGACAAGTCCTCGAGAAAGCTCTCGAGCCCCGAGAAAGCTCCCGAGAGCCCCAAAGAAGAATGCTGGCCTTGACGCAAAGGCCAAGGGTTCGAAGCCGGTCGTCCAAACGCACGTAACGGCCCACAAGCCTGGCATGAACGAGTGTCTCGCCCCAGCGTGGCCGACCGTCTGGTTCCAGGTGATTGTTTGGTTCGACTCTTTCGCCCGGCGTTTCGCTCGAACGACCTCCCGCCATTGGCAGCCTTCTCTCGGCTTCTCTCCGTCCGGCACGCCCGAAACGACCGTGACCGGGCCCGGCCAGAGATCCGATGTCCAACGACGACGAGCCGGTCAGTCACGGCTCACCTGCCTTGAGTTCACCACCGCAAGGACATTGTTGACGCTAATGTCGCAAGACACCATCCCTGGCCTATGAGAGACATCGCAGGTCTGGGAAGGAAAGCCCGGCAGTTCTGAGGAGGCGGCCGAAGCGGAGCCCAGTGTAAGATGGGCACCTAGTCATTTGGACCATCTGAAATCCAATAGAAACTGATAGAAACTGTCTTTGTCCAAAAGAAAGTGTCTCTCGGAGACCTCCACCTATCCAAAGACAATTATACGTAGGTAGATAGATAGCTAAATAGATAGATAGATAGATAGATAGCTCACTTGAAATCAGTCTCTGAAAGACTTCGAACTCCGGCCTGTGCGCCAAAGCGAGCCTCCACGTGGTGACTTTCCACCTGAAAGCTCATTTCTGGCACGCAGCTCGTTGGAGCGTACGGTTCGACTTCTGAGACTTCGTCACGAATTCATCGATGAAAGCACACCACTGCACGGTGTTCCGTGCCTTTGTCAACTCTGCAGAGATCTGCCGCAGAACCTGCGAAGCAAATTTGCGAAGGAGGAAAATGCAGGTGGACGAAACAGGCATCCAATGAAAGGAGGCCTGAATTTGAGCATTTCTGGTAGTGGCTCCTGTCGGTTAACAACACCCAAATGCCTGGGAGTCTGCAAGCACATTTGCAGCCTATTTGTTCACAGGTAAGGAAGGAAACCATGGATCAACTTTACACATGAAACATCAAAGCATGTTGATAGCGACGTTCACAAACACTTTCTGCATAAACACATTCCGGTCCGGGCTTTATGCCCAAATGGTCTCCCCCCAAGCCGCGGCCGTCCTGGCACCCGGACCTGAGACGGTGTGGGGCAAAAAGGTGCAGATTGTTATATAGCCACAAAAGGGGAGTGGCCCAAATGTTCGGATGTCGAAGACGAGCCCAAGGAGTTTCGCGGACATGCCAACGGTGCTTTTGGGAGGCCAAACCGCCAAACCAGGTTTTATCGGAGATGTTTTCTGGGGTGTCTCCTGCAACAAAGACTTCGAGCCTTGCCCCTACCCCAAAGCGATGAGCCAAACGAGCAGCTGAACCACTTTCGGCACTCTTGCACACCCAAACTACTCATGAAATTCTGATGCATCTGAAGTACACAAACATCCACATCGCTGTTGGGTGTCCAAAAGCCTTAGACACAAACGGAAAAGGCTGGCAGCTTTTTGTGAGACAAAGGCAATCATCACTGGCTGACCAACCCAAAAAACCGCGCTCGCGCTTTGAGCTGAAAAACCATTGACCACAGAGCCAAATGGAGCAACTTCTGCACCATCCTCAGGTGGCGCTGAAATTTCGACTTGTTCTAATGCTCACATGCACCAAGGTTGGCGCAATGGTTTCAGCCAAGTGCTCACGAAGCCTGGCAGCGGCGCAGCGCAGCAGCGCAGCGGCGATTCGTGCAGCTTCTGTTTCTTCCCAGGTTTCGCTTCGTCACAACGACGTTTCGTTCGGGTCGCCTCTGCAAAAACTAATCCTAGAAGCGATGGCCTCCAACCTACTAGCGATGGCCTCCAACCTACTAGCGATGGTCTCCAACCTACTAGCGATGGTCTCCAACCTACTAGCGATGGCCTCCAACCTAGAAGCGATGGCCTCCAACCTAATAGCTTCATTGGTCGCCTCTGCAAAAACTCATCCTTCTGGACCACATGTGTGACGCTGGGCCGCTGTTCCGCCGCATACTGCGTGACCTCCTCGGCGATCAAGGCCACTTTCCGGGGGCGCAGGCGATGCGGCGTCTTGTCGGTGGAGGAAGACCAAAAAACGGAAGCGTGGAAGCGTGACGGTTCACGGCCGTGTCTTCGATGAAGTCTTGTTTCAGACTCTACCGTGCCAACAGTTCACATTGGATCGTCCATCTCTTGCGGGTCTTGGTGCGTTTTGTTTTTTGTTCTTTTTTTCGTGAGTCCTGACTTAACTTCTGGGCTGCCTCATTGGACAAGCCCCCTGAGTCTTGTCTTCTCCTGTCAGACTGCTCCGAAGGCCAAATTAAATGATGGTCCTTTTCGCATCTGTCACAACCTAAAGATCTCTGCCCTCCCTGCAACCCCCCCCTCAAACAACAATTTCGGTGACATGCTGTGGTTTCATGACGCACCAAAGTCTGTTGGATAAATCTCTCGCTGCCTCCACCAGGCGGACAGAGATGCAGAACTCTCGGTGCTCGTTCGAGTCGCCTACCAACGCAGCCGGATGCGTCCAAGAACACCCCCAAAGCCAACAAGTGGCCAGACTTCAAAGAGCCTGGCCTGTGCCAAACTGGCACCTTAGGTGTCAAGAAATGTGTTTGGGCATCGAGAGAACACTCGTTGATGGGGTGAAAGCTAAGCTGTCCAGCGAGTCTGGCTTGCGCCCGATGCAAAGAGGCGAATCTGACCCCTTGCAGAATGCAAGATCATATTAAGAACCTTTGTAATGACCATGTCAGCCGAACTTCATGCGTTTTCATGTCAGCCGCACCTGGAGAACTTCCACGCAGCTGGCACGGCACAGCGCTGGCATACTGCCATGGTTCCATAAAGCACATGTCTGGCACTTCAAGCTGTCCAAGTGCTGTTGAGTCAGGCTGAGCTCTGCAATGCAACTGTTCACATGTGTTGACTCTGGTGCTGTACATGCAGTCGAGGTTTGCATTAAAAGAATGTAAGGGCCTTGATGCCAATCAAAATGTTCATGGATAATGATAATGATGAATACTGCAGTGTTGGTCTGAATGCTACGCAATCGCATGCCAGCAAGAACATCTACAGAGCCATGGTGACCTACTAACTTTGCAGCAAATGGAATCAAACGCTCCAAAAATTGGGAGAGGCGGCGAAGCAAAAGTAACTCCAGACAAAACGACAACCAACTCACTTTGAATTGATGAGTGTCCACCCTGCTCCAGCCTCTCGCACAATTGAAAAGGAATTTACTCGTCCATCATGTCTGCTACTAGCCTTGTGGCCTGGCACAACTCAGGTCTGAAAGCTAGATAAAATATAGTGTGTATATATATATATATATGGATGTATGGACATATATGTGTATATATGTAATATGTATATTATATATGTATACTGTCTATTTATGTAATTAATTATACAGTAGTCATGGTTCTTCTTGCGAACTTGAGACTCTTCTTCACTATTGATTCCAAGGACCCCAAAGAGTGTCGACCAATCAAACAAGTCGCCAGCAGCGCCGTGACCGGCAGCATGGCCATCCCCATGACCCGCGGCATGTCCGTCACCGTGACCACCATATCCACCATGGCTTTCGCCGCCATGGCCACTGTGACCGCCATGGCCATGGTCCTCTGTGCAGTCGGCGTCATGGCCCCCATGCCCACCGTGTTCGCCGTGTCCCTGCGAGGTCGGGTCGAAGAAGCATCGAACCAGCTCAGTCGAGCCTCCGTCGACGAGCACGTCACCAGCTCAGTCGACATCGACACGCAAACTCGACATCGACGCGGCAAGCCTCGTGCCCACCATGACCACCTCAGCATGGAAAAACTGAACGCCATCGCTTGATGTCGAACGGCAAAGGCCAGGACCATGCGAGAGCTCTGGCGCTTCCTTGCAAAGGCTCTGTTCGTTTTGGAAGTGGTCCGTTTTCCCGAATGGATGTGCCCAGTTTACCAAGTTATATGTCTTCAACATACTTTCCACAGTGAAGGCGCATGTGAAAAGCGCAGTGGATGTTCGCATTGGTAGCAGTTGAACAATCATTGGAAGGTCAAACAGTATTGTCTTGCGTGTGTGATTGTTGGTTCCGCCATAATTCTGGGAGACTTTCTCCAATGAGAAAAGGGGTTGCCCCCGGATGCATTCAGCAGAATATCTCCCAAGCTCTCTTCATATTTGGTCTCGAAATTTCATGTGAAACAAAGCCTGCAGGCCTTCAATGTACTTTAAGAAGGAACAATAAATGAAAACGATAGAGACTTAAAGGACATCTCCTCAAAAAAAAACGGGGGACCGTGTTTTCCCCGATCGAAGCACTTGCATGCACTGGGTCCAACCACTGGGTGAGCCAGCGGGGAAACTGACGGTCTGAAACGGTCTTCTTTGGCTGCTTTGACTTCTTGCTTCTTTGGTGGGGCATCATCAAATTGATAGTGAGGTAAGGACAGCCAGTCGACTGCATTCCAGACTCACAGGATCTATAGATTGTCTCGGCAGGTGGCAGTTTTCAATTCATTATCTACCACTGCCATGGAAAGCGTACATGGACAGTGATGGGAAGCTCTAAAGCCAATTTTGAAGCAGAATCTCTATGTTGTCGACCCTCTCTGTGCTCGTCTTGCCCCTTCCTGTCCACCTGGCTGTTTCATCCTGGCTTTTGTTGTGGTCTTAGTCTACCTGGTCTACCTTCAGTAGTTGCCTCCTCCGCGTCTGTAGTTGGACCCTCTGCATGTTTCTGTGTACCTGTCCGCCTGTCTCCCTACACACCTACCTGTCTCAGTGCTCTTGTAGTATATCTGTGGTTCCCCATGGATATGGAGGACGTAATGTGTGGCACACGTCTACATGTCCTCTACATCTTGTGCCATCACCAAAAATGCTAGTCATGTCATGCGGTGCCTCCGCATCTTTATCAATGTCCTCATTGACGAAGTTGCAAATGTCCTCAGCAAGCTGAATCTTGAACTACTGTGACCGCCTACATCTTGGTAAGAAATTGGAAAAGGATCCATCACGCACGAAGCTAACAACGAAGCTAAGCATCGTGGGCTCGAATGTTGCATAATTCGGACATCTGCCATGGCTCTCACTCTTTTGTCACTTGCGCGGTTCCACTCAGAAATCATCAAAAAACACTAGCTTTTTCTATGCAGTGCCTTCACCTTGCCCTTCACTGCAGGGATGATCTTCGCAAATGTGTTGATACTTCTGATTCGATCCTTGCCAAACGACAAGGTGTTCCGGCTTGGCACACCAGCTCTTGTTTCACACAGTGCGGCGCGGAAGCCGCCTTTATTGCAATGGCTTCTTCCGAGGAGACCAGGTCCAGCTTGTTCAGAATGATCTGTGCCGACGAATTGTTGTACGACTAAGACTAAGATGACAAATACCATCAAAAATATGTGACATCAAAAAGAGTTTATTTGACGTCAAACAGATGGTGTGTGACATCAAATACCATATGTCATATGTCCTTCCAGTGAATACCATCAAAAAAATGCCTTCGACTAGAACTTCTGCCGTGTCCTTGGACCGTCTCTCTCCCCTGACCGGCGTCCTTGTCGGCAAAGGCCACCTGCTGAAAGGCTTCGTTCACCTTGCCCTCTTCGACGGTGTCGTCCAGGCGTTTCGGCAGGTTCTTGGAGTCTGCGACGGTGACCACCTCATCCGCCGACGCGTCGGGGCCCGGTGGATCGGGGCCCGGTCGATCGATGTGGCCAGGAAAGATCCAAGATCGGCACCGCATCCAAGCGCAAGTCCTGCCTTGGACGAGTGCGTGATTTTCGTAACGACGAGTGCGAATACTTCCCTGATCTTCCCTGACTAGCACACGGCCTTTTGGCTGTGTCCCACTGAGGTGCTCACGTTACTTCTGGGCTGGACATAAAGGTTCGCACAATGGGGACTGGATCTGCCATCCCCTGGCCGTGACTGGCCATGGGCGCCCAGGTTATGAATTTATGATATGGAAAGCTGGTCAGAAACCTGTTCATAAGCCTTCAAACACAAACCTGGGATGTCACCGACTTAAATGTTGAAAAGTTACATTCCAAAGCTGACAGCGTCTATCAATTTAGATCCAAAGGTGAGGGCCGATGTTTCCCAAACAACCGTGACCTCTTTTACATAACCCTCTTTAAATGCTCGCGCTCGCTTCGCTTTCACGCATCGCCCAGGAAGGAACCCAGCTCTCTTCTAACGTTAGCAGTTAGCGAATCCAGCAAACCAAGCAAAGGCACCGTGGTTTCGATCATCACCTGGTCAATGCCGGAGCCGCCCTTGATGGCATCAATAATCTCTTGCAACCTGCGGGCGTTCGGCCAGAAAAAATAGACCTAAAAGGGGTCTTGCAAGGTGAAGATGGTTTTTATTTACGAAGCTCTTGGATCCTCTTCCACACAGCACATCCTTTTCCAGAGTCAGCCTGCAAAGCATCTTTGGCTCCACAGAACCGGGGTGAACCGTTGGTCACGTCTCTGAACTGGAACCCAGGCGACCCAGTCCGCGAACTCAGGACGCTCGGATCATGCGAATGCGCACCAAGTCCTTGGGCTCCGAGACGCTTCCGACGATCGGCGGCCGTGACGATGTTCCCAAAAAGGGCGGCCGTAACTCTGGGCCTCGTTACCCATCATCTGAAGCACCAACAAGCCCAACAGCCTAGCTAACATAAGCAAAGAACTCGTTCTTTTCGATCTTGTTCTCGCTGTGCCAGGCGTTCCTGGCGATCTGTGCTGCTTGATCTCACATTCCAGCCACAAAGCAATTCATGGTCGATGGTGCCTCCCGGCGCCTTTCCACTGCGGCCAAGTGCTCTTTTCTGCTGGCACCTCAGAAGCTGTGTAACACAAAGATGTGTTCCAAAAGCTCCTGGCTACAGCAACCCAGCTTTGCCTAAGCTCAGCACTTTCCCGCTGCTTGGCCACCAAAATATCCTTGCGCGCCTAGCTGGACACCACAACCAACACATGTCCAGCCTATCTGGCAGGTCTGGCACCTCGCGCGCTTGGGCGATGCGTTCTTCGCGCAGTTTGGCTGACACCTCCTGGCCAAAGCACGTGCAACACACAACCGGACGAGCACCGATGGGTGGTCATGGTCTGGCTCCTCGTCCAGCTTCATCTTGTGGAGATGGTCCATGAAGCGTTGCTTGAACTCGAAATGTTTCTAAAGAATGCCATGGATGAGTGAAACAAAAGTGCATCAGCAGGGCTGTAACACAGAAAGATCTGTAAGTCTTGGGCTGCATCTTCTTTGGCCTGCGCAACCAACTATTTGCATGTTGGATTACTGTTGGCCATAGACTGAGTCCAGCTCTTGTATTCGATGTTGTCGTTTTTCTTCGATTTGCGACCTCGGTCTGTGAAGCAAATGTTTCTCACAAATCAAAGACTTGCAACCTCCTGCAAAAGCTCCATAAAAGTGAATATCCAATCGTTCAACCCGTTGATTCCCGTTGATTGATCTACAGGGGCTCTTTATATAACTCATCTAGTGATTGACTCGTTCGTGACTGTTCTGATGTAGGCTCCCTGGCAGCTCTGCCTGTGACGGCAGCTTGGCTGGTGTTGAGTCATCATCCTTCCGAATCTGTAGGACCTTGCCCATCATGGCCACAAAAAAAGAAAGCGATCGGAGGCGGGCCGGGGGGATTCCCATGCCCAACTCACCTCGAGATGATGCTAGATAAATACCAAAATACATAAGCAAAGCTCTAAGAAAACATATATCATATGTGTATATGTACATACCTCAGAATGGGGGGACGAAAGCCAGCAGCCGCCAGACGAGTGTTTCTTTTTCTGGCGTCGCGGCACACGACACATGGTCGGCAGCTTGCGAGT